TGCCCAAGCTTGTCTGTGCCGGTTTACTGCCAAGGACCCGTCTGTCTCTTAATTAAATGCCGTAACTTATCTTTGGCTCAGAGTGTGCTTTGGTGTGGAATGAGGGTGATCAGAACATATAGGTATAATATATATCCTTATCTCAATTACTGTAACTCTATCTGTCTGTCTGACTGTCTGTCTATTATTAATATGGTGAATTGGTTATGAAGCTACACTAGAAGTGGGGAGAACCAGAATAGAAGCTAAGTGGGCAACTTTGCACCAGTCAGTTTTTCACCCTTAAACTGAAAAGTTGAACTTGACTGAATTAGTGTGGTAGATTACAGATCATCATGACTTTCAGTGAAAAGGCTGTCATTCTGTGGTGGATTTGGGCTGATACTACACAGAGAATCACAGAGAATCTTCTTGTCCATGTTGTTACTTTTATAGATAGCAGGTCTATATAGAACTGTTTATTTGTTCAGACTGGTTGGTTTTATTTTCAGAAGGTGAAACTATACAACAGTAAGCATGAAACTAAGCCACTTACAATCAGTCGGTTGATATGTACTTGCTGTGGCAAGAGTCCTAAAGCAGCAGCCACTCCTTGCCGGAAAATCCGAAGCAATGTGATATTCAACTTGTTTACATCCATTTGCAGAGTCTGCAAAACAAACGCAAACAGTGCTAATCTTGCAAGGCACACACAGTTCCCTACTAATGAGTGACCTCCGTGAATTGTGCAAATCGTTTTTTCCCAGGATGGCAATGTGTGAAGGCAATTTGCATTTCAAACAGAGAACAAGAGTTGGGGGAGTGAGGTCAGGGGTGCAGGATTCCAGACTATTAATGGATGTTAGTTTAAAGAATGCTAACATTTCCTCTTTTCATAACCTTAAGTTCACCATGAGGTGAAAGAAATTTCTTTGGATACACTCCTGGAGCTTTTACAGGAGCTACAGTGCCAGATCACAAGATACTGTAATGGAACTAAGTGAAACAGAATCACCCAGAAAAATGGCCTCTGATTATTATTCTCATTCTTCCTAGAAATAAAACAAAATAGTGGATAGATCGAAACAGTTGCTACTCTTAGCTGCTTTCAAAAAGCTAAGGTGGTTAGTGCTTGCATGGGTTGCACCAGAAAATCTCAGAGCTGTAAACTAGACTGGGAAGCAAAAACAAAAAGTGTAGTCATCAGGATGAAGGAAGACGTTACCTTTTATGTTATTGTTTCTAAAGATGAGGAAACATGGTGTATCGAAATTCTCCACCAAATTGGTGGGCAGATAAGTTGGGGAACCGTTCTTCCAGGGAAAGGAAATATCTTCAACAACTTCTTCCGTTGTGCTTATCCTTTGTGAGTATTCTGAGAACTGGTACTAAAAAGCCCATGGGAGGATATCCCTCATGACTGAAACATGGGAAGCCAGAGAAGTTACAGACCACTGGAATTTGATACACTCACACATTTCTATTAGACACTTTGAAACTTAAAGCTGTGTGTGTGTCATTTTTTGAGCTTGGCATTAAACAATGCTTCCTGCAATGTGGAAATTAAACAATTGCAGATCCCAACTTGTTTGGGGTATCATATGTGCCTGAAATGAAAACTGGCATTCCAACCTGACAAACGAAACCTTGCTGAGTGCCCACGTGACATTGATTAAGCCCGTCAATCAACAGTTGTAATTAGGAGTTTTACTATGGATTAGCCAGCAAGTGGGGAAAAGCCTCCCACTTTTTTAACCTGATTAGGCTTTCTGGACAAAAAGGGAGTGCCATCGATGTTTATTGAAGGCATTGTGCCTGATTTTTCTTTGCAAGGGTCCAGGAGGCAGCTGAGCGATTACAAAGTTTGAGTATCATTGAGTTACACGTATCAATTAAAAAGTAACTAGTACATGTAAGTAGTGCGTTGATTTATTGCCTTATCCCCAATTAATTCATGAAGGTGTGTGTGAGTTAATAAAATTAAGCTGTGGTCTAATTAATTCTGTAGAAGCAACAAATGAAGAACATTTCACTAGAGGAAAGAGATTTTACTTCAGTGAATGACTTAAATTTGTATTTTTGAACCAATATGCGAACCCAAATTTAGATCTTTTTTAAAAATTCATTATTTTCCAAATTTGCAATTCAGTTTCTTAATTTGCAAACAATGCCTCGGGAAGATTTGAACAAAATATTTATATTCATGTACATAATCTATAAAGTGCATTAATCTCTTTACATTAGACATGATTATAAACAAATATACTTGCAGAAATGTACTCAAATATATTTCACAAAGTGAAATAGAAACAACATCACAATTCCTATCTTAAACAAGCCTTCAACCATTGGGCTGAAAATTCTATGATGGCACCAATTGGAAGGCTTGTTTAAGATAGGAACTGTGACGTTGTTTCTATTTCACTTTGTGAAATATATTTCAGCCAGGTGAAAATTCTGATTAGGTCAGATACAAGCCACTTGGGCTGTGACTTGGCCTATTTTTAAAACCACAACATCCCTGCCTAATGAAGCTGATCTCACTGTTCATCTTGGACCGTGGGTAGGTGCCACAATGGAATCTATATGATCAGAAAGCTTCTGTGAGTACAATCCGTTCCACAAGTTTTTAAGATAGGTCTCTTTACATACCATTTCTATCTTGAACAATAAACTTCCATGGAACAATGGAGAGAGATTAATTGGTTAGAAATTCCTCAAATACTGCTGGCACCTTTTATTCAACAAAGGAAGCATTGTATCTTCTGAAGCCAGGCTATACTAATTAATCATATTATGCCTTGTTGATCTGTACTGTTTATCATTTTTGGCACCTGCTCCTTGAGGCGAGTTCATGTTTGAATATACTGTACATGCTGGCAGCCATGACTTAGTAACCTAAAAGGAGAGAAAGATAACCACTCCAGGGAACATAGTTTCCCAATGCAATTTATTAATCTAGTTACTGCAATTGTTAGCAACAGTTTCCAGGATTCAGGACTATAGATATGATGAATTATATTATCAGGTTATGCCTGAAAATTTGGCTAATTTATACATATATAATACAAATAAAAATAGTAAAACTAGTAATATTTAAATGCCTAATTGTTTCATTGGTGCAGAATAAATTCTTCGGAAACATGGAGAAAGTACTTTTTAAACCGTTAGATGGAAAGCAGTGTTTGGTGTAACATGTGCATTTACATGTGCACGTTCTCTGAGGTTTATAATATATTTGAATATAATTTCAGTGTAAAAGGCTGAAGGCTGCTTAAAAATAAAATCTGAGAGATATTTGAAAGGGAGCTTACAACTTTCTAATTTTATTTCTTCAGATTAGCAAGTAAATATTGCAAATTTCTGGCAAAAATGCTTGCAAATTTCGGCTCAAGTTCTGTAGTAAGAAAGTTGCATCATGGAATTCAAATGATAGTTTTAAAAACTTGAAGATTTTGTGGAGGTGTCCATAGGCTCTCATGCTTTTCAAAGAATAATGAAAGCAGTATAATGCTTTCATGCCACACACTCTGCTCCTTCTGGGCATGGGTGTGACATAACAACAAAGATAAAAAGGGATGAGATTTGCATGACCCTAGCATTAATTTGACTCTTTTGTCCTCCCCCATGAAGACTTCTGTTGTAAGCCATGAATACCAACAGCATATCTATTTTAATATAGAGAAAAAAACTTATATTGGCTATTAAAAATAAACCCTGAACCTTCTGGGAAAAAAGTTTATCAGGCCAGCTTAAAGATTACACATATCAGGCTTTGACACTCTGAGTCAGATATGATGTGGTCAAGAATGTGGAGTGTTAGGAATAGGAGTAGGGTGTTAAGACTGTTGTCACAGTAACTACACACTGGCTTGAGATTTTCATAGAACTGTCCCTGCCAGCTCAGATCTCACTAATGAATTTATGAAACTATTATTTGTATATTTGTTAATATACATTACTTACACAACATTACATTTGCCATTGAAGTCTATTGACTTACTTTGAAGAGAACCTTTTGGAGCTGTTTGCAATTATTATGAATGTTATTGTTATTTAGTTTAGCAAACAGTTTTCATTTGAGATCAACAATGAACTTGAATGTTTCTCCTAGATCCAGCTCATTCATTAAAAACAAAGTTAAAAGCACCTATCTCAAGGAAAATCTTCAGGAAACTTGAACAATATATATAATTTTAGAGAATTAGATTTTTATAGAATTCAGAATTTCGCACAGCACCAGATTAAATACATGTTGTAATTTTGTCCTGGAACTACATTTCAGTCAATAAATTTCTAAATGTTGAAGTAGATTTTATTTACTCTCCAATATTTTCTTTATGTACTATATTAATTTAAAATTGCCTGTAATTTTGGAACAAAAACTGTTTTACTAAGAAAGCATTTTAATGTTAACATTTTAAAGATAACCATAACATTTAATCATTTATTTTCCTACAAAACAAGTTAATTGACTGTTATTTCATGAATATTCCTTTTTTGTGTGTCTCTAGATGTAATGCTGCCCTTAGGTTTTTTATTCCTATTATCTTTGGATTATAGTTTCTATAATATAGTTAGCTCCATAAATTATTGTGCATATTTTAAGTTGGTTGCCTCTTTATGTTGCAACTATTGTAGAAGCAAATACTTAATTGTTTGCCTAGACTTTTATTGTAGACTTTCCTAGCAGACTTTCAATGTTGTTATATTTTAAAATTAGGATCTAATGCCAGAAGGCTTTTTCTGGTGGAATGATATAATTGGATAAGAAGTGCTGCTATTACTGATTATACTATTATATTTTGTGCGTGTTGCATTTTATATTATGTTGTGAGGGCTAGTTTTTAGTAAGTTAGCTACCATCTTGGAAAGTTGTCTAAAATAGAGAAACCCTGAAGATGGATTGAGGTGTGACAATATGTCACAAAAGTAATGTTATACTTGAACTATGTTTCATGACTGCACATTTGGCAGATTCATAGATTATTATGCCTGAGCTGAAAGTGAATTGAAAATAATCATTCTGAAATGTTGGGGGATGGGGGAAGATGACTCAATAATTGGATAGGGAAAAAGAGCTTCCATAGTTTTTGGGTAGTCATAGTTCAGTGTTCCTTAGAACAATAATAATAACTCATATGTTATCCTTTCCATCATTCCATAAATATTAGAACTCCATTAGTTATATGAACATATTCTTATATTTAATATTTTTTCTAAAGCAAGAAGAGGTGGGAGGAAGGAAACATGCTTAATTACACAGTTCCCTTTACTGGCAATTCAACCTTTTTTTGGCCCTTCGTGGCATTGGATCTCTTCTTTCCCCTTTGGCCTTTGTGGAAAGCAAGTTCTGTTAGATATGAAAAGGTATGTATTATTTCAATAATAATCAGTTAAATTAATATGAGTGTGTAAACCAATAGGTAAAAGATAGCTGAAAAGATGTGGGTTGATATGTTTTCCAAGCACTATATTAGGGATTAGAACTATTCCTTAAATGTTTGATTATTATTATTATTATACAATTGTATCACAGCGGCCAGTTGTTTCGCCGGATTTGGCATTGGTTACTAGTCGGGCCCCACCCAGGGGCCTNGAAAAGAAGGAATGGAAGGCACCCTTACTTGTAAATAGGGAGATGGTCATGGAATTTCCTCCTGTGTTGTAACATTTTATGTAGGCTTTGTTGCCAGAAATGCTTGTGATTGCAAGGAAAGGATAATTCAAATTTAAAAGTCTTTTTCTCTGTGGATACCTGACGTGAAGATCTAGCCAAATGCTACACTCCTTTAACGATCAAAATCATAGTTGCAATAGGAAAAACACAGTTGTGAGATAGAAGAATGCTGTTGCTGGAAATGGTAATTTATTTTTTAATATCTCCAGGATCGCTACTTTTTCAAAAACCACAAGGAAGAAAAAAATACTGTGTGATTTCTTTTAAGAACTTTCTATTGTAAAATGGAAGGGGATTGAGCACTGTAAATACATTTACTCCTGCACTGAATTAACTGGTAAATACATACATACATTCTTGTGCAGTATGGCTAGTGTGTGCACTGTTACAGTTTGTTTGTTTTTTTAAAAAGATATTTGATTAAATACGTTTTAGAGAAAGGGACTAATGTTAGGCTACATTGTATCAATCCCTTTTTTCAAAATATAGTATGGCAAAGGAAATAATAAATGTTGAAGTGAATTAAAAGAAAAGAGAGGTCTGGCTATAAAAGAAAATCAATAATTAGAGATCCTTGCCTATAGTAATAATTTTTTTAAAAAAACTTAACCAATAAGATCAATTCAATAATGCAAAGTAAACACAAATGTGCTTCTTTAAATAAAAGTCTGAAGAAAAACAACTAGTTACTTAGGGGAGTATAATAGTTAAGAAATTAGGCCAGGATGAGGAAGAACCCAGGTTCAAGCTCTCAGCTGACCATGGATTGTCTTTGGCTGAGAGAATGTGACAGGTATAACCCACTTTTTGGGTTATCTTAATAAACAGAGCAATTGTTTACTTCTAATTGTCTGAATTGTCAAACTGAGTTAATAACTATAAATAAGAATATAATAATAATTGAATAGGCACAAAATAGCAACCAGTGGTGGTAATAATCTACACCCCACTTATGGGACAGGAAATTATTATATAAGGGAAAGCCAACATGCCACAACTAAGCATGAATGAACAGAAAACAATACATTACCCATTAAAGAAATAGAAAAGAAAGTCTGGTTAAAATGGGGGTGGGGAGTCATTCACAGGTGGGCACTGCAGTAGTGTTTGAAAATTAAAAATGGACATCCATCACTACTTAAGTCCACAAAAATAGATGGAACCATAAGCTGAAAAGCCTGGAATATTACGGCTGACAAGAGCAAAAATCAAACCATGTGGAATCTAATAAAAATTGTGTAAATGAACATCTGATTATTTGACTTGATGTATTAGGGTTTATCAGAGCATAACTGTTAGAAACCATTCAGCAGATAAACAACAGGAAATTGCACTAGTCATAATGCATCATTATTCTATACATATTTACAATGACTTTCACAATATTCATTTTCCTGAAAGCATCTGTAGTTACCCCAAGAAGGACACCATGGGAGGTGGGACAATTGATAAAAATGCATCATTACATTCTGATGCAAAACCTATGAATTATGCACTTGAATGTGACATAGGAAAGCAAGTGCGAAAGACTAAGTTTTGTGTTGTGATTTCAATATACATGTCTTGTCTTTTTTCATAATGCAATTAGTAGCAAATGCCTAAACAAACATTGTAGCACTTTGTGCTTTTAAAAATTTGCCAGCTAAGGACCAAATAAGCTTATTGGGGCATGCTTAGCTAAATGTGTAACTGGTGTGAAAATGGATTCTGTGCATGAAATCCCCCCCTCCTCCAATCCAGCTGCTGTGGTTCACAAAAAATCAATTTGTTGTTCAATAGAAGAATGGAAAATCTGGATTCAGTCCATGCTTTACTCCACCTCCCCTCCAATTACTATTTACAATGCCAATTATAAGCATGTGTTTGGCTGAGGGCCAATAAATGAACTCACCCTTTTAAAAAAATGGGGGAAGTGCCCCTTCGAAGTCATCTGAATGAAAGCATTACTTGGTCTATGCATGATTAGGATTCACTTTACGCCTCATTTTGCATTAATTTTGTTTGTGGCTAAAAGACTGGACTGTTTTTAGCAAATAATTTCAGCACCAGTAAAGCTTATTTTGCTTTTCAGAAAGGCAAAAACAGTGAGAATGGAAGCTAACAGACTTACCATCAGACATGTCACAATAACAACAAAGATGCTGAGAAAGATTATGACAGCATAAAAGCCTTCTTTACTCCAGAGTTTATCCGACTCATGTTTGCCTTGCAAAACATTTTTCTTTGACTGATAAAAACATAAAAGGAAAAAAAGGTAATTATATGGTTCTGGACAGGATGTACATTTGAGAATCATTGTCAAGCTAATATAAAGTTTTATCTTTCTTCAATAATATAAAGTGCTTCTATGATTCAATACATTTCTATTGTTTTTCAAATTTTTGCATCAGTGAATATCTCCAGATAGATATGCCATTGCAGTACTTTGTAACATATCTAATGTTGACACTATATGGAAGTGAAAATGGGACTTTGAAGAAGGAAAATAGGAAGTTCAACAGCTTTTGAACTTTGGTGTGGGAGAAAAGTCCTAAAAATATAATGGACAGCTAAGAAAATGAATAAATGTATTATTGAATAAATAAACCCAAAGTTCTAATTTGGGGCACAAATGACCAGGCTAAAATTAGCCTGGTTGCGAAGATCCAGCTCTAAGTTACCCTATTTAGTTATTGGATGATCTACGTGGTCACAAGGAATTGAGAATGACTTGAGGTGAGGAAAAGAGATGAAATAATGGGACAAGGAAAGAAATAAAATGAATAAATTGTTTATGTTTATCTGTTTTATCCATGAAATAAAAAAATCACTGCATTTATTAAAATCAATAACTCTTAATCTGCATATCACTTAAAAGAGGATGGATTTGGTGTAGCAGAAAGAACCAACCAGGCTCCTTTAAAAAATTACCATCAGAGTCTACATACATTGATATTAGGTTCTCATATGAATGAACATAGTTTATGCTTTCCTGAATCATACTGCAATCCTATATATACTAATTTAAAATTAAAGCCTGTTGAATTCCATGATGCTCGCCGCTGAGACTATAAATTTTTGGTGTCATTTTAAAATTACACTTCTTTTTGCATGCACCCAAATATACACTATGTAATATCAGACTAAAGTAGAACAACATTATAAATCAGTAGTGGACTGCTTTACTTTCAAGTGAAGAGGCAAAGAATAGTAACAAGTGGCCTAATGTTACTTATAACATTATAAGGGTTACAATCATTAAATGTTTATGCTGAGGAAAGTCTCCCCTTGACATGATGATATTATGACTTTGAGTCAGTTACTTTCCCTCAGTTTGACTTCATTGTAGCTTACTATACAAAACAAAGAAAAATCCCATATGTGCTTTATGGGATTTTTCATATATATATATATGTTTTCTGAGGTTTTTGCGGGTGTTAGTATGTAGGTCTCTAGTTGTTCGGGTTTTCTCCCGTGTAGAATTGGAGATGTCTTNTGATGGTGATTTTGTCAATTTTTAACTGTTTTAAATGTAATTCCAGTGCTTTTGGAATAGCACCCAGTGTGCCAATTACCACTGGAATTATTATTTATTATTATTATTATTTAATTAATTTGTATGCCGCCCACTCTCTATCCTAGAAAAATGATTGGTCCAAAGTTATATCAAACTGGGCTCTTCATCATCTTTAACGTAATAACAATACTACACTGATCTCTTATACTTATGAATTATATATATTTAGACATAACTTGCAAATTATATACCAAATATGTTTTTTCCCTATCTGAATGAAACTATAAATTAATACACATATTAAAATATTTGATTGCCGGTAGTATCCAAGACAATTCTTAAAATCATTTTGGAAGCCAAATATGGCTCAGGGTCTACCAATTTTCCACACTAAACATGATAGAATGAAAAATTGTACTTTTATGTTAACTATTTAATGTTCCTCTCCTATCATGAAACTTGCAGAAAGCACACTTGCAGAAAATAATTTGTATTAATTGAATGAAATAAAACCTAAAAATGCAACCCTTATTAAACTGACACATAAAACTGGGAATTTTTTAGATTATTTACATTGTCCAAGGCTGTTAAGACAGTAATAACTGGCATTGCATCAGTTACCTAAAAGTTCTAACTCGAATAAAAATTGAAATAATTCACCTAGAAATACTGTGGAGTATTAAACTGAGGCATCAAAAGGATGATATTTTCAAGACTAGGTAACCCCAGTTGAATAAAATCAAGAGAAATTGGGCAAAAACATATTTTTATGACAATACTTTAAATGACATTATTTGCCTTGGAGTTATACTTTTAAATACAAAAGAAGTAAAATATTAAGTTTGTATGCATTAAAAATCTGAGTCCTGCCTAACGGAGGTTTGTTCTGCTATATAGAAAAAAGAAAGAAAGAACACTATACCTTCGGTAATATTCAGGTTTCTCTAGTTTTCTTTGATACGGTTGATGCTCCCAGATCTATATATCTCATTGACTATCTCGTTTTCTGAAGAGAGTGTGAGTCATTCTAATCATGCACTGGTTTCTAAGTCAACAGAGAAATAGAGAGCAATTCCCATTCAGTCCCTGTAAAGTCACTGCCTGCATAACTGGTCCCAGAACTACTGAGATGGCCCCTTTGGGATACAGCTCAGGTGCCTGCTCCTCCTGCAGCTTACGAGAACCAGAAAGTAAAGAAACTGGAGAAAGACCTGTCAGAAGAAAAGGAAGGCTTGGAGAAGACAGTTGTTGACTGAATGACCGTCCTTGAAGCTATTTGCCAACATCAGAAAATGAAAACCACAAAAAATTAAAAAATTAATTGGTGGTGGTTATCTTTTGTTGATGAGTCATAATAACAGAAGTTGTCCTTGTTTGCTAGCTTTGATAGAATCCATTCTATGTCTCATTTTATTTCCTTTCTTAGGTTGCCCAAGGCCATGATAAAATAAAATCAAAATCATGTCCAAGTAACATAAAAGTCTATTATTTTTCTTCAACATTTTTCCCAGCCATGAAGCATGTATGCTCTTTGCCATGATGTTTCATCTTGATAGCTTCTCTTCTTAGTTATCTAGTCAAAATCAACTAAACTGATCTTATCAAAAGTGCAAAGGGCACCCTCAGAAAACTATTTCTTAAGTCCTTAAACTCACTTTCCCTATAAAGATTGATTGCACTGCAAAGACACTGGGGTTAGTTTAGAAGAGAAAACATACTTGGCTACTTTTAGTTTTGTAAATACATATCTACTTTATTATGTATAATGAGTTGTATATTACCAATTGACATAAAGCAACTGATGAGTAGCTTAGAAAAAAATAGCACAAAATCCATTTGACACACTGAATATGCTTGGCAAAGAAAACACAAACAATTCATCAAAACTTGCCCTGTATTTTTTTCTTAAACTCACATGTCCAATACAAATCTGTGCTGTTTAGATTCCAATTCAGTGAAGAAATTATGCATGGAATTTCAGTTTTGTTGGTGATCACTACTGACATGGACTGTACTTATCACATTAATGTGCAGAATCTATGTGATATATTCTGATGAATAAAACAGCAAAGGGGCTAGAAAAAACTGCTAGAGGGATAAGAATCCCCATTATGAATATAACATTTAAATTAGTTTTAATTTACATGGAAAGAAGAATCCAACAGTCTCAAATTAAAGCTGCTGCATTTCATGTTACCACCATCCCTGTTGGATATTAGCATAGATAGCTCTTGGGCATACTGTTGGATCTTGTAAGCATGGGGTGCTTGCCAGCAATCATGAAAGACAAACTCAGTTCACATATGCATAATTATCAATAACTACAACTTCAATTGCTACCTTACATGAGTGAATGCAGACAGGATGTATCAAATATTTGGCTGACATAGAGTATACATGTCTCACAATAACACATCAACTTGACTCATTTGAGCATCAGGGAATTTTTTACAATCCTACAAGGGGCCTGAAGCTCCATACAAATTTACCAAAAATAGTCTATATTTTGAGATTTAATATTTTTGCTGAAAGACTTCTGAGATTGGACCATTCTTTTAACATATCAAGTAGAATCATTGGGAAGGGGGTGGCCAAAGTGCATATTGGGAAATAGAGAGAAAAATATGCATAATCCCAATCAAAAGCTTTGAGAACCACAAACTAAACTGAAGCACTTTGCATCTACCCCTATTTTTTTTCCTGGCAGCCAGTGTCCTACTGATAACTTCCATCATATCATTCATTTATTTGTCTCTACTGCTATTATCTATGTAACTATAGATTAATCTTCACCCCCTCACCATCTGTCATCGTCCTTCTGCTTAAATCTCTGAAGCTTAAGAAAATAAAAACTGTCCACTGATGCATAAAAGCTACTGGGAGAGGAATATTGGCAGTTTAAGCAATCAGCATTAACTCTCACATTATTGGGATTCGTTTATGCTCCATTTTAAATTATGGATTCACAAATGTCATGTCATAGAGTTTCTTGTAACGAAGTATGATTTCAGCTACAAAAGAATTTTCAATAAAAGTATTGATCGCCTACTCAAAAAGCAGAACTGAGTAAAGGTCAGGTGATAGAATTCATTGTTTTTGACCGGTCCTCACTGCATTTGGATCCTCTTAGCTGTTCTTTTTGACCTTGTTGGAGGTCTAAGTGGAATCATTTTCACTACTCCAACCCAGCAGTCTATTGTTTTGCCTTCTTAACTTATGCTCCCATCTTTTTCTGGCTTCCATTTGTTTCTAAGTCCATTGGGTCTCTTCTCACTGCTGTTCTAATCCTTTTCTTTTTGATGCATGAGGCTCAGTGGTTTAAAGCCGCTGGAAAAAGTCTTTGCTCTGGCAGTTTGAGTCCTAGCATCGTGTAATAGAGGGAGCCCCTGCCACTTGCCTCAGTTTCTTCCAACCTAATGGTGGAAGGCATGTTACATGCAAGTAGATAAATAGGTATCACTTTTTGGGGAAAAATAATGAAGATTCATAAGGAAGAATGATCCCAACTGGTGCCGAACCTGCCTAAATATGTCGCTTAAACATGAGGCAATATCAGTGAAGGGAAAAGTCCCAGATGACAGTCCAGAATGCCATTAACCATTCTGAGAGTGGAGCTAGTTCATCCTCTGTTGTGTATTATGGATTGCCCATGAGCGTGAACCAAATGGAGTAGCAGTCTTAGGCAGTCAAATAACTATCCTGTACTAACAATCTCCTACACTAAATA